GACCGCCTGGCTCGGAGGTGGCCCTTGAGAGCGCCCTTGGACTGGGGAAAGGCTCCCTGCGCCGCGGTCGCAGCACCGCAGTCCAGGGCCCGTCCCTGCCCTCGGCACGTGCGGAGCCGCCTTCCGCACAGGGCAGCAGGAGGAGATTGGCAGGTGGCCCCCGGGAAAGCCTTTGTTTGCTCGAGTTATTAGCAAGGAGAGAGGGAATAATGATTTATTGATGCTTCTGTAATTCTCCTCCACTGGGCTATGAAGGAGGAAATTCAGTTTTCGCTCTCATATTCACAGGTCTAATTGAGCTGTAACTTGCCTCGAAGTCAGACTCGCCTGCAGGAGATGGTCTGGGGGTGCTGAGGACGCCCCTTCTCTGCAGTGCAGCTCTGGGCCGTGCGGCTCATCCCCGTAGCCAGTCTGGGCAGCTCCCAGCCCTGCTCCTCCCCTGGTGTCCAGGCTGGTCTTGGTAGGCTGCTTATAGAGGACAGGATTTGTCAGCTACAGCTTTTTTTATATAAGATCAGAAATATATCATGGACAGATTAATGGCCACTCTTTTCTGGAATGAATTGCCATATAAGTGTCTCTAGTTACCATCAAGGATCCGGCATGCAGGGAGGCTCTGGCCGTGCGGCTACCCGTGTCGCTGCAGTAAACCCAGCTGAATTCCTGGGCTTTTCTTCGTGCCTGTCCTCTGGCAGCCTTCCCCCATGGTCAATACCCTTTCTGCGCTGTCCCCTGCTTGTGTGTGAGCCTCGGCTCGCTCTGTGATGAGCAGGTTTCACCTCTGCACGAGGGACAGGGACAGGTCTGCAGCGAGGGGCAGCGTCACACTGGGAGCGAGAATGTCCCGTGCTCCGCTCGGATCCCCGGTGCTGCTCCGAGTGCCAGCCCTTCCAGACCATGGGAGGAGCGGCGAGGGGGCTGGAGCAGCTCGGATGTGCAGCCCTGCGAGCCGCTCACCACCTGGATCCTCGGGAAGGACGGGCTGTAAAGGAGCCCCGGGCAGACCTGCCTTCTGCCCCCACCTCATCCGTGCTCCTAGTTCTGCTGGTTTTGCCCGTTCCCTTCCCAAAGTGCCGTTTCAATTGACCTCGGGGAACGTGCGGCCGGCTCGTTCCTGTCAAGTGATTTATTTGGGATATCAGTTCTCCTTTGTTATGTTCATTCATATAGTGCTGGGAGCCCCAGTGCTGCGTGTCCTGCAGACCCCGAGCGCGAGGGGGTCCCCTCTGCCGAAGACGCGGCCAGACGAGTGGGTTGGAAGAGCAGGAGGAAAGGATGGGATTTATGAGCAGTGTGAGCAGTGTAATGAAGTGCAAGTTAATGCTGCTTTTTCTGTGCAAGTCCTTCTGACAAGTCATGTTAGTGATACAGAACTGGACAGGAAAAATGAAGGAGCTGCACAGCCACAAAAAGCCAGTTCTCGCGTTGCTGCTGTAAAAATATGTTGGAGCAGATACGAACTGCTGCCTCTGTCCCACATAGCATCATGCACAGGGAAGAGCTGCTTCACCCATGGCTTCCTGGTGGCTTGGGGACAACTTTGGGAGGTTCCTGCACCCGTGCACTTGCAATCCTCTTTCCCAGAGGAAACGTGCAGCTCGCCTTAATTTTCTGTTGTCATCTCAGAAAATGAAATGCATTCCCTGGAATATCTTGTGTTTCCTTCTGATGCTCCTGTAAATGTATCCAGGTGAGCTCTGCTTGGTTTCCTTTATTGCGTCTTTAGTTATAGGTGGCGAAATTCCCCCTGGGATTGGGCTGTTTGGAGCCCAGCCCTGACAGCACGTCCTGAGTATTGGTTTGATCCTTGTCTGTCAGTGGATTGAATTCGGTAGATTTTTTTTAGCATACCTGGTTTTAATTGTATAAGTCCCTCCTGTTTTCTTCCTTATCTATTTTCCTCGAGGGGAAAAAAAAGGGAACCAGCAAAATCAATCCTGTGTTTTTAACAGCCCCCTCAAAACTAAGGGAGCTTCAGAGGGAGCCTCTCATTCCCAGGCCTGTTTGGTGTTTTCCCTCAGACTCTGCAGTTGCCGTTATTTGGTGTAGTAATTAATCAGCACATAAATAATACATCGGGTGTTATCAGAGGGCTGCACGGCGGCGCAGGAGGCCTGCACGGCCTTGTCTGCCTCGTGCTGCTCCGCAGCCCCGAGGGCCCATTAGGAGCATCTGAGATGAGGCCGGATCCTTGGCCGGATCAGGGGCTGCCCTGCTGGACGAGCTGGGATGGAGGGGTGAGCGCTCGACCCGCCGCAGCGAGGGCAGGGACGCAGGGTGAGCGCTCGACGCGCCGCAGCGAGCGGCAGAGGGAGCCGGGACGCACGGGTGCACCCTGTGCAGCAGGGTGGTGAGAGCGGAGAGTCCTGAGCTGGGGCTTTGCGGAGAGGTCTCCAAGGCTCTCCGTAATGTCCGGATATCCGAGGCTGCTCTGTGCTCCTGCTGGTCTCCCCGCAGGGCCCACGATTGCTGGACCTCAGGGCCCGAACGCAAGAGGGGCACCGAGCCGTGGGGCACTCGCTGCAGCTCCTAATGGTGCCTGTCTCTTCCAACCATAAACCCTGCCTGGGCAGGCTCTGTTCTGAGCACAGCTTCCAACGTGTTTCCTGTGGAGGAAGGAGGGAAAAGGCCGGCAGTGCCAGGATCGTGCAGTCCCCCGGGGGGTTCATGTGCTTTAGTCCTGCTGGAAGCTCTGGGGTTACAGGATTGCAGCCAGAGCAGTTCAGTAACGTGAGCTGTCTCCTTTCCCAGGTGCTGGAGCAAGATGTGGTCCTGCAGTCCATTGACCGGGCCATCGAGGCCGTGCACAACGCGGCCATGAAGAACGGGGGCAAGTACAACCTGGAGCAGAGAGACGTCCTGCAGTGAGTACTGCCACCAGGGAGAGGTGGCACGTGGGGGGTGGTCAGCGTGTGACACCTCTGTCTTCTCTGGTCTTGAGGGACAAGTTGGACCTCGCTGACCCGAGGCCCTGCGCGTGCCCATGTGCCCCGCGAGCTCTCCAGGTCTGCTGGTTGCTCTGCTGCTCTTCCTGCCAGCTGCTCCCAACAAAGCGGTGCTTCATCTTGCCCTTCCCTGCATGTATGAAGCTGCATTGTAGATTTAGAGGAGGAATCCGGAGCCTTTCCTGTTTTGCTTTCTCCTCTCCGCCAGCCAGGGATAGCAGGAGTTGGTAGCCGTGTGGCACAGGCTCTTCGTGGTGGTCACAAATAATTGATTGTGATGAGAATTTTCTTCCTCTGCCACCTCACGCCGTGCACTGACGCACGCTGGCTTCATCTCCACGGAACAGGGATTCTGAAGTGCAGGCAATCTCCGAGGCTTCCAGTGCAATATATAACTCCCCTGGAGAAGAGGCATTTTTCTCCTGTGAACTTATGAATAGGCCTTTTGCAGAGCCCCTTCCTTCCTCCCCCAGAAGTGCTTCCTTGATTGTTAATGAAACTGGAGTCAGTCATCAGAGTAGCGTAACCCCATTCTGAGATATCTGTCTATATATATATAGAGATATTTATCTATAGATATCTCAGAGTGGGGTTTTATATATGAAAACAGCACAATATCTCATTTAAACACTGCGACACAGTGTCTCCCTTTCACTGCTCTGCTGTTCCTCATGTCGTCGTTCCATTCCAGAAAACTGATCCATCACCGCAAGGAGACCGTGTCCCGCAAAAGTCACTCGCCGACCCCTCCGGGGATGGTTATGAGCCAGTCCTCCAGCGACCACCACCTGGACGTGGCGCGGCAGCCCAACGGGGTCTGCCGGAGCGGCTACGAGCGGCACCACAGCCTGCCAAACACCGAGTTTGAGGAGGAGGATGAAGGCCTCTACCAGGTAGCACTGGCTGGCGCTTTCCTGCTTCGATGCTGTGACACTGCTTGTTCTGGTTAATGAAGGGCCTTGTGCAGCTGAGGCCACAGCAAAAGTATCTGTTGCTTGTTTGGGACTGCTGTGGTGTTTCCCTGGGTGCTGCAAATTGAACTTTTGCTCTGTTTAAGGAGTCTGGAACAGTCTCATTGTATTATTTACACTCTTAATGCTTTCGGAGATCCTTGGGGGTCCAAGGCTTTATGGTGATGTGTAAGAGCTGCTCTCATTTGGATGACTATTTTTCTGACAACTTTCTAAAATGTTCCAGGCTCCTCAGAGGATACTTTGACATAAGCAGCAGAGCTCTCTCTGGGTACTCAACACAGCTTTTTATTTCTCCCTTGTTACATCTGCACAACAAGATCTTTGCTCTTTAAGCATTTATCTGCTGTGGCTGCTTTTTTTTGCTACTTAGGTCTTAAAATGCAAGATCCTGCTTTGTCTGATTGTTCCTCCTAGTGATGAATCAGGGGTAAAATGCGGGAAACACAATTTAGAAGCTGTTTTTTTATCTAAATGGTACATGTTCCAAGGTTGCAGCGTGGCGTCAGCATGGCTCCAAAGAAGTCTCCAAGGACGGATGCCGCAAGCGTTCCGGATGAATTATGTGGCTGATTACACGGCGTAGGTGGGGTTGGAAGGTAGGGCTAAAGGCTAAGCAAGGATGAGCAGGGAGGTGTTCTCCTCCTGCAGATGAACATGTACCCTGTAGCGTGTCTTCATCTGCCTGGGATAGCTGTTTGGAAGCAGTGTCACCAGGCACTGCTGCGCTGCTGCTGTGCCAGGCTTGTTTTACACCTAAAGACTGGTGAGTTTGCAGAAATGAAGGGAAGCTCCGGCTCCTGCAGAACATGGGCAGCCTCACAGATCCCATTTTTCTCCTTGATGTTGGTTCTCTCTTCTGGCACCCAGTGGAGCACCTTCAGGCCCGTGCACCCTGCTGATTCTCCATCTTCCTCTGCTTATCTGATTGCTTGAAGTCAGAAAAGAGCAAGGCAAGTTCCCTGTCTGACAGGGAGCCTGGGGGGCAGCACTGGTGTCCAGCGCTTTGTTCTGTGCTGAAAGGGCTCGTTGAGGTTGTGTCTCTTGGATGGAGGAATTTCCCGCATGCTTTGAAAGCACAAAACGGAGGAAATCATCGCTTTCCTCCACTCTGTCTGGTTATGCACTGCCGAAGAGGAGACCTACTGAAATCTCAACTTTTTCAATAGCTTTTGAGAAGCAGAAGTATACAGGGATGTGCTCTGTACTTTTTCAGCTTTCTAAGTGCATCTTGGTTTGCGTCTGCAAGCTCGAGTAAAATTTTGAAGTGCAGATTCCCCGTTGGCAGCGGTGTGGGCTGCTCTGCTCCCCATGGGACCGCCTGGAGAACCAGGTCCTCACACCCACGCTGAGCCCTTGCTCAGCTCCTGAGGAGCAGGGACCCTGCAGCAGGTGCCGAGGAGCAGCCTGGGCTCTGGGGATGGTGCAGCTGGTTTGCTGCACGTCTGCCCCCCGAGTCCTGCCCGCGTTGGTGCCACCCGCCCGATGCTCCATGTTCTCCTGCCTGCGCGCTGCCCTCCGGGGCTCTGAGCTGGCACCAGGCGTGCGCCTGTTAGCACTAATCTCTAGTAGTTACGTTACACCCTGGTATATTTAGAAGGGATAACAAAGGCCTGGACATACTTGAGGGCGACCCAGCCCGCTCTGTCTCCAGATAATGTCACGCCGCTGCTCCAGCCTGGCCGCTGAGCCCCGCTGCTGCGGTAATTGCGACCGTGCTGTGCCAAGCAGCCCTGGCTCGCGCTCTCCCTGTCGCACAGCTGAGCCTGCCCCATTTGGGGCCAGCCGGGCTCTGCAGAGAGCTCTCGGGCTCGCGTGTGCCCCTCTCAGCTGTGCAGTCTCTTTTTGGACCACAGTTATGGTTTGGAAAGGACAAGTATGTGCTTATGAGATTCCAGCGGGCTCCCTGCGAGAGGTTTTGCATTGCAGAGATTTTGCAATGAAAAATCATGTCGCGTTTTACCCGGATAACAGGGGAGGGAGGAAACAAGAGAGCCCTTCCTAAAAGGCTGTGTAAAATGCTGATTTCAGATTTTTGGTAGGCTCCTCTGAGGGACGAGTGCTGTATTATTGGCGTCTGGCACCGAGTGTTCAAATACTTGAAGCTGCAGCTCCTAGGGGCATCTCCTTTGCAGGAATGTCCTTGCTCCCATCTCAGAGGAAATTTTTGTCCTCCTTGGTTCCAGAGAAGGTGCACTTCTTGTTTTCCTTTCTTCAGAGCTATTTAAATGCAGTTTTACTCCTGGGTTTTTTCCAGGAGCAGTGTCAGTTTTTCACTCAGGGGTTGGCAGTGCTCTGCTCAGCGCTGTAGGGCTGTCCTGGAGTTCAGTATCGATCCCTCTTTCCAGGTCACAGCTACTCTTCTCTTTCAGGGCTAAAGAAATACAGAAAATCAGCATTGTGGAATGGCCTGGATGTCACTGTGGCAGAGTCCAGATGGTTTCCTTGAGCTGTTGCTGAGAGATTCAGGCCATAATCACTTTTCCCTTCTGATTCTACCCTAAACTGCATTTCTGCAAGCAGCAATTGCAATATCTCATAAAAACGGAGGTGTTTCAGCGATAGCCAGAGCTTGCTACGCGATCGGGGGTGATGTTACAGCCCACTGCGGTAATTCCAGGTGCAAAAGGCACAGGCGATCGTGGCATCTGTATCCAGCAGGGAGAGATCAGAGCATAGAAATCTGGGTCAGGGGCTCTTATGTTCCTGGCTCAGCTTTGCTTGGAGAGACTTGTAGGAGAGGTACCAGATGCAGGGAGTTGGTGCAACTCGCCAGCAAGAGCTTTCCCCAGCGGGTTTTGCTGTTGTGTAGAACTGCACTGTGATTCTAACCTGATTTTTCTCCCCCCCTGCATAAGTTGGAATAGCTATGAAAGCATGGAAAAGGAATGTCCGTGTCTGCAGTCCTTGGCTTTGTCTTTTTGCAAGGGTATTTGTAGCTGATGTAATGGATCTCTGCAGAAGCCTGTCTAAATATGCGCTCTGTTTGCAGCCTCTGTGGAGCTATTGAGAGTAATGTAGAGTCACGGTGGATGTGTGGGACTGCCTTTGCAATAGGGAAGGAGGAAATGCCTGACAGGTCTGCACGGCGTGCGTGCTCTGTGCTGCTGAACACAGCAATTAAGCAAGGGCTGCTTCCCTGTCACAGGGAGGGGATGAAGCAGGTTTGAGTCCTGCTTTGTTCTTCTAGGAAGCTGCCTATTAATATCTGTCCTCCTGAGAAAACTTCCTGGAATGATGAGAGAGATGTAAGGGCAAATTTACACGCGCACACACACAAAGGAGGGCTTTATAGCAGGGGATGTCTTTATTGTCAACCTCCTTTGATTGCTCTAAAATGCTTCCTTCCAGATCCCCCCGCAGCCCCGACGCGCTGCTCCCGTCACGCCTCCGCCTCCGGAGAAGCGCAGGAGCGCCCAGATCGCTGCAGCTGCCAAGAGTAAGGAGGGCTCGG